TGAGCAGGTATGGCCTTTAACCCCAGAAAGCCACTGACATCTGTCTTAATAGTCACACATACTAGAAATCTCACCGTGGCTACCAAGCACCCATCTGCTCTCTCAAAGTCTGGACTCTCTAGGTCTTACTGGGAACAAGCACTGGGAAGCCTCACTTATGAATAAGAACTCCATGCTGAGCACCAGGAGGCTGCTGGTACGGTACAGATCGCAGGTGAATCACCACCAAGTTTTCTAGCTCATTCTGTTGCCTCCCCCACCTACCCCCGTGAATCACCTCTCATGAAACTTAAGGCTTTTGGCACCAGAGAAGATTGGCAGCCCCAAAAGGTGGAAGGTGTGGGGGTTCTGTTTGCTAAGACATCACTAGGATGACACAGGCAACGCTGACATCGGAACTAGACATTCAGCTGCTAGAGAAAATAACTAGATGAGTTTCATTCCTAGAATGTAAAGCCATGCAGCCAGCTACTATGTAGTCTATGACCTCTCTTTATTCTCCATAAATTGTGGGCTGCAAATGGGCCCTGGAAGTCTTGGGTCCTGGGGAGGGCTGATCTGAAGTTCTGTAAACCCACAGCAAAGAGCATTAGGACCATAGCCTGGCTGAGCCTCCAAGGCCATCTTGGACTTCTGCCCCACGGGCATCCTGAATCCCTTCAGAACCCACACTCTCTTAAGTCCCCAGCCTCCTCGGCACTGGGAGTGAACTTTGAAATCCCCTGCTTGTCCTGTTTGGGAGGATTAGCTCGCTGGCACCCTGTGGTGGGGGAGGAAAAACCGACCTTTGAAAGTGTCTGTTATGCAACTTTTATTCCGTGTCCCTTGTCAGCAGGTATGGGCTCACAGTGTCTTCTAAAGGGACTGGGGTGTCATCCTGCCTATCACTTCCCACGGCACCCCAGGGGCATATGGAACCTGATGGAGTTATTTTAGCTCTCCCGAAGAACAGCTAACACCAACCTTTTTCAGGTCACACCTGGCTTAGTTCTGACTCTCTTTGGGGACACATGGATTCGATTTTATGCGGTTAAAAGAAATCTGATGTCCTTTTCTTTTCTTTTCTTTTCTTTTTTTAAAAAGTACAATTTGAGAGTCTATCAATAGCTGAATCACTCCATATGGTCTCCACGTCAAATCTTCCATATGCTTTTTTTAGTACAGTGGCATTATTTTAAAAATTTGGGAGGAAGGACACACTTTGGTTAGCAGACGCTCTGCAGCAGCAGAGGACAGAAGTGATGGTGTGGGGCGGCTTAAACCCTTGCAGTGCGCTCAGTGTCACGCCAGGCTGCGCCATTTTGATACCTCTTTAAGTTCTGAAGAGTCATCAGCTCTCAGAGTGCAGCTTCCTCATCTAACGCACAAGGTGGACAATGACCACTCCGTAAGGGACAAGATGCTTCCGGTCTGGTGGCTGCTTTCTTTCGCTCTATGTGTCTATGACTTCAACAGGGAGCCTTGACCCTCCCTCCCCCCGCCCCAGGCAACATGCTACCTACCTACACGACACAGGAGGACTGACTGCTTGAAGTAACTGGCAGAGGTAGTCAGCTACTGTGCCTGCCACTTTGAACCTTCCACTGAGTTCAGGGCTCTAATTAAGTACTTTCCATTTTCAAAACAAACACAAGCAGTAATTACAATCTTCCCTCCTTACCTTCCAGGAATAGCCTGAGAACGAGGCAAAATCCCTAAGTCCCTTGACTTTGAAGCTCTGCAGCTAGGACGTCATGTTCTTCCTACCCCACTGACCCAAATTATATAACCCTTCTTGCGTCTCCTGCCACATGGTTCCCAGAGAGGGTCACGGCTCGTTCCAATGTTCTCAGCTGTGTTCAAGCGAAGCCCCTGAGGGAAACAGGCACGTGTCTTTCTGGATGGGAGTTCCATCATGTACTCTGGGCACTGAGGCTTGACCTAAGCCAACAAAACACATCTTTTAAAGTGACCGGGTCTTCATTGTATCTATGGATGTCTAATTGAACGCGTTACATAACCTGGGTGTACACAGCACTCGGGATCTATTAATAACCAGCTGTAGCCATACTCTAAGGATTCTTCGAGTTCAGAGTTGAAGGATGTAGTTTGTTACTAACCACACACATTTATATACAAACATAAAGCCCCATCATACAGAGCTGAGCCCAGACCCGGAGAGTGGGAGTAAACTGTCCCAATACAAAGTCATGTTAACAAGTATGAATGCTGGTTTCCCGGCCTCTTACTTTTCTTGAGCATCTTCCTATGGTCTGTCCATGCAACTATCTTTAGTGACAATCACTGTGTAGAATGGAACACCTCAGAGACCCCACCATGCTGAACACTCCCCACCATCAAAGCCCGCAGCCTCACTCCCAGTTAGACGGGGTGAGCCCACAAAGGAATCACCTTTGCCTTGTTATTTATTTATGAACCCTGCATAGCCTTCTGTCCTCCTACAGATATCTAGGCACCACAGATGTATCTTAGCCAGAGGCCAGCCTAGGTACTGTGTGAAGAATTCAGGCTTTGAGATCTTCTGGAGAGAGAGTGGGTTTTAACCAAGCAAAACTAAAAAGGAGGAATCTGTTCTGCATCGTTCATTTTCAGGGTGTTGTGCATGTGTGTGCAGGGGAAAGCCCCAAAGATGTGAGAAAACTGATGGATTAAAAATTAAATATCAGAATGGGGATCAATGGTGTATTGTGTAACCCAGTTTCGGGAGCTAGCAGTATGATATATGATCCAAAAATCGTTATTTCATAATTACCTTGTCATCTTCAGGAGTAACTTAATGAAGATCGTTTCTCTGTATTCATTTTTTATTCAAAACTGTACCCATTAATCATGAGGATGTAAAACACACAATTCTGGGAGATTAATACCACCACCAAGAAGCATTGTTTTCTCTTCAACAACCCCACGAGCATGCCAAAAAGAAAGGAAGCTTCCTTTTTGGGTTTGTGAGTTTCAAATAGCCACCAAACCCTGCTGGGCGCAGAGTTTCCGGGGAAAGGTGGCATGTGTCCATGTGACTTGGGATTCGGTACTGCTTTAAAAGGCTCATTAATCTACATCTTTAGAAGACTGATGACAACCCATTAACAGTCCATAGGTCAACTTGATGCATTCAGCTCTAGTAACAGGCCCCAAATAAAATAAAATTAAGTGAGGGTCTGAACACCCTCGCTGGCCACCTTTCTCCTCACGGCCTCTCTGAGTGTACTCCGTGGACTCCGTCCGGCACTAACGTAATCGGCAGAGAGTAGAGGCAGGGGACCAAACCACTCCTGCCTGGTTACTCACTGATGGTTCAGGCTTGGATTCCCTTCCAAAATGTAGCTGATGTTTTTCAGAGGGCAGTCAGGCTTGTTAGCCATGTTTCTTCCCAGCCCGCTGTGTCAAGGTGATACATTGAATTTGATCAGCTCCGAGCGGCCAAAGCCATCTCTCCAATTGAAATGCCTAACCTATTCCAGAACCCCAGTCTGGCACCTTGGGATGTTTTATAGCCACTATGTTTTTGCCCAATAAATAATCCACTGAAGCAGGGGCATCACCTCCTTTGGCTGAACCTGACTGGCATTGCTCTTTGAACATCGAATCCTCTTCTTGGAAATCAACAATCTATTCAGTCCCTATGTCTGTGGCTGATGGGCCTCCCAATCCTTAGCTTAGGCTTGTGACCCGCTAGTTCTCATACTCAGAGTCTCGGACCTTGGAGGGATCTGAGACATCACTCAACCCAGCCCTGATCCTTCTATAAACACAGACACTGAGGCCCCTGGGGCACAGGGTCTTCCCCTGCACAACAGCATCACTTTCCACATGGAGTTCACAGGTGACTTAAAGACTCAACACCTTAAACAGATGTTCAGACAAAGCCCAAACGATTTCGCATGGCCTCCTTGGTTAGGATTACCTACATGCACTTGGGGGAAGAGTCACAGGCTGCATGTCAGGGAGGCTGGGCAAGCGGAGAGCCTCATGTCTGTGTCAAGGCCTGTCCCATCTCTCTCTGGGCTCAGAAGTGTGAAGTTCTGCTGACACACAGAGCCATGGCAACTATGAGTCAGGACCCAGGGGGCCTCTGCCTTCTGGCCATACGGAATCAGCCACCCAGCTCCTGTGAATTCGCTATCTCTAATATTTGCACAGCCAGCCCAGGTGCTCCTGCTGCTGATGGGTCTTGCCCAGGAGAAAGACTGAGAATGAACTTGCTTGCGCACCCAGCACAGAAGAACACACATGGGAGTAACTGAAATCCCTCTCCATCCTTCAAGAGCCCTGGAAAACAGAGCCCGGAAAGAAAGCACAAGAAAATACATTGACCACCCCCCCCCACACACACACACACCGTACCCCCAACTGAACTAAGAGGACGCTTCACAGTTACCACACACGTCAGGATTGGCAGCATTAGATGAAGGGGTGAATGGAAAATGCATTCTACTAGCAATTTATTCCGTCTCGGCTGTCATTGGAAGGCGTCTTTTCACACACATGCAGTGGCTCTTGAGGCGGGAGCAGCTAGTGAAGGGAATGAGGCAGGCGTGTGTGTGACAAAAGGATCAGTGTGAGGAGGTGGTGAGCACCTTGATTTCCCCCTCGTGACCTTGATTAGCATATCCAATCACTCTGGGCCTCAGTTTCCTGATCTGAAATACTGAGAAAGAGAACCTGTTTTCCTTGGAGCGGTTTGAAGATACACCATCCAGCAATGCCTGGACACCGACCAAACATCAGGGTCCCCCAAGTGACTAAGTCCGAATCTAGGTTTCACACATAGATGCTTATCTAGACCAAACAGGTTTCTTGCTTGCCTGCGTGTCAAGCCCGCTGCTGTCTCCCAGATAGCCCAGGAAAACATCGGGTCTTCAAGGCACCTTGGCAGTTCAGACTCAGGTAGGGTTTGGGGACAAATTCCAGGCACTGGGTGGTGACTGGAGAGGGGGCTTGGAAGCTGCTTCCGAGCCCTGCGAAGGGGCTTTGTCCCCGAGGCTAAGGGCCTGGCTTACCGAGAAGAGCATCCGGAGGCAGGTGGGGGGCGCGCAGGGCACGCAGCAGAGCCACAGCCTGGCCCGGGCCCGGGGCGCGGGAGCCAGAGGAAGGCGAGAAGGAGGAGAGAGAGGTGGCCGCGGGTTCCTGCCTCATTCTCCCAGGCAGCAAGGACCCATTGGCCGCTGCCGGCTGAGGCTGGCCACCGGGCACCAGAGCTGGACCGAACTGCTCATGTCCCCGTCAGCGGCTGGCGAGGTGTGCGCGTGGCTGGGTTATCTGCAGGCGATACTTGGGGGCTCCTCATGCCCCGCGCCTGGGCTCGGAGGAAGATCTCTGAGGACAGCAGCACCCGGGAAAGGAGAGAAAGAAAGCGTGAGAGCGCACAGAGCTGCGCCCTGCTGGGCCAGGGGCGGGCAGCACCGTGCGCCCCACCCACCGCGCTCTGCGCCCCGCGCAGTGCACCCGCTGGCCAGTCGAGCCCCAGAAACTTTAGCACATGGCCAGTCCGCCGACCGCGGTGGCCCGAGACGCCCCGATAGTGGCGTAGTCCCACCCGGCCCCAGATCGCAGCTTACCGGCCACCACCGCAACCGCAGCGGAGGGTCGCCCACCTGGCCGCACTGAGAGTGGTGCACACCAGCTGGGGAGTCGGAGGGGGCGGCGACGTCGGGGTCCCCGCAGGGGAGGGGTAGCTCGACAACGGTGATCAGCACCCTTAAGACATCCAGGAAGGGGACCACTAGCCAGCCTAGTGGGTCTGCAGACCCCGACAGGGGAGGTTCAGTGCGTCCCCCGCCCCGCGGCGCTGATGCTGACGACGCGCGCGGGCTTCCCTAGACCGGGTCTGCGGAGCCAACCCTGTTACCTAGCGACTCGCTCCGGGAAGCCCACGCTGACGCGCTAGGAGCTGGGCTGCGGCAGAGGGGAGGGGAAGAGTAGGGAGGGAAATGAAGAGGGAGAGGAGGGGACTGGGTGGGGGAGGGGGCAGGGGATGGCTGGTGTTGCCGGCCAGAGCTCCTCCCTCTACCTCTACGTCGCTGCTGAGGAGTGGGCCGGGGAAGACCTGGCCTCAGCCTGGTCCGGTGTATCAGGGATCTGCTCCTGGGTGAGGGTGGATGGAGGGAAAAATGATGATGCAGGTTCCCCAGTGCTGGGGTTATAGCAGCAGGTGGCGGCGATGTGGCCCGTGGAGGCCTGACGCCTATAGGAATGCAGAGATGAGCCAGCGAATGTGGCTGGGGGCGCGAGGTGTGTGTAAGACGCCCCCACCCACGTGGAGTACTTGTGGACCTAGGGACTTGGGTAAGAGAGGTGCCTCCCCTTTTCTGGCCTCCTTCCCTCCTTCCCGGACATTGGCTCTTGCTCAGTCCTCATCGTGGAAGCTCTGGTCGCTATCTCATGGTTCTGAGCTCCCCCTACCTCTCTGAAAACTGGAGGATGGCTGCTAGGTTAGTAATCGCTCTGTCTCCAGTCCCATGACTCTCTGCCAACGCACCTGGTGTCTAGTTGCAGGAACTCAAAAATCTGCCTCCAGGTGCCTTCCTCTTTGTAGATTCGCTGCCTCTCAAGCTAGAATGAGCTTCAAGCCGTGGTGCGTCCAGTTGTTTACAGCTTATAGGACGTGGCAAAGTACCTTAACATCCTCACTAAAATGGAGTCTTTGTCCCAAAAGGCCACAGTTAAACATGTCCCTGGGGTACATGAATGTGAGCACACATTTTCTGTAAGGTGTACAGTACATCTTCTGGTTCTCCAGAACCTCTCCAAAATACACCCCTAAGGCTCAAAAAGGGTCCTTGTCAAAGCAGGCAGGGACTACAGTCTCTGAGGTTCTCGGGACAAACAGCCAAATGTAGTGGATACCTTCGAAGTAGACCCTAGACCCTGTGGTTAGCAGATTCTCAGATCTCACCACTACCCGCAGGGCAGCAGCTGGGTGCAAGGAACTCCTCCATATCTGAAAGATTCGAACACGTGGGGACATCCTTTCCCTTCCCACCAGCCCCAAGACAGGCGCACCTGCCACCTCCCCAGAGGACCAGTCTCAGCTTCACCCCTCACTCTTTCCAGACTGCTCTTCTCTTCCTGGCTGGTGTGAATGAGGAAGGAGAAGCAGAAGACAGACCTTACAGAGAATCACACCTTCTCAGGGCCCACATCTAGTCTGGAATCTCCGCAGCGTGGAGATACTCCCCCTTGGAAGACCTTTAGAGTGTGGTATGGAAGAGGGGCCTCTGAGGCTTTCCTTGGTGGTAATGGTCTGCAAATTGGGCAATCCATTCTCCATTCATTTATTCATCTATATTGTCTAACCCTCTAGTAGGCCTTCCAAGCAGAAGCCAGGCAGGGACCCCAGATAGCATTTTTTTTTCTAGAGAAAGCTGTTGTCATTCCTAACCTCTAGGCAATGGTTATGTTCTGACATTTCCCAGCAAAATTGGGAGCAACACCTCTGAGTTTTCCCCCAGTTTTTATGAGTGATTGCAACTCAACAACTCACTTCCCACTTTGGAGGATAATCTGACATTTCATTTGGTCAGAGTCAAGTGCTTAAAATATACAAAACCTCCAAGTGTCTATTCCATGCCCTGCCATTGCAGGCCTCAATGTTCCAGAAGACTGAGAACCAGTGGGAAAGCATGGTTTGTTAGTGTGTCTCAGTCATGGTTTGCAGTAACACAAGGGGGAAAAACCAGCAATTTCATTGTGTGTGTGTGTGTGTGTGTGTGTGTGTTCATGGGATGTATGCTTATATATATGGGAGTCTATGTGCAGAGGCCAAAGGTTGACAGGTCTACATCCGCTATCTCCTCTGCTACACTCTGCCTTTATCTTTTGAGCCAGGGTCTTCTCCCATTGAACCCCGAGTTCATCAGTTTAGCTAGAATGCCTGGCCAATGAACCTCAGACATGTGCCTATTTTTGCCCCACCCACCTCACCTCTCATGTTGGCATGCACCACTAGATCTGTTTTTTAAAAACATGGGTTACATGTGTGCATGACAAGCACCTTATTATCAGCCCCTGAACTCAGTACCCTGAGAAGATCCACATGTCCACATTCATGCAGCAGTATTCACAGTAGCTAGACTATGGACTCAATCTAAACGCTTCACAACGGATCGATAAACTGTAGTATATATACACAACAGAATACTATTTTCAATCATATAAAGAATGAAATTCTATCATTCGTGGCATTCCTAATGAGTCAGGAGGACATTACATTCATGGAAATGAGCCAGGCACAGTATATTAATCAGGGCTCTCCAGAAGGGGAGAATAAGTATAGTTTAAAAAAAGGATTCATCAGACTGATTGTGAAATATGGTCTGGACCATCAAACAAGGACTATGTCACATCAGAGAGACTGAGTCCCTGGTAGTTGCTCAGTCATTAGACTGGACGTCTCAGCAGTCCCAACCTGGTGCTGAAGGCCTCGAAGGTTTCTGGAGGGTTGACCTTTAGTCCACACTGGGAGCCAAAGCTGGGTCCTAATATCAGTGAAGGATGTGGCAGAGCCAGCAATAAAGTAAATGAACTTGCCAACAAGAGAGAAGGCAAGTCAGGCAAATAGTTAAAAAGCAAAAAGCAAAAAACAACAAAACAAACAAGCTCGGAACGACAAAAACAGAAGGGGCCACTAACATGTAGAATAGATCTCCCCACTTCAAATAATCTGGCTGAGAAAATTTCTCACAGGACGGCCCAGAGGCCTACCTTTTAGTTGAGTCCAGATTCAATCAACTATCACACATAGCTAGTCGTACACTATGTGGCATCTAGAGACGCTGATCTCACAGGAGTAGAGAATGCAGTAGTGTACAGTGGACAGGCAGGAGAGGGCAGGGTGAGGAAAGTCTCCAGGTTCAAAGCTATGTAAGGAGGAATCATTGCCAGGGTTCTGTCACACAGTTGAGTGGTTACACATAACAATATCACAATGCATATTTCAAAATACGAGGAAGAGAGTGTGAACTGATCCTTTCTTCTCTCCTTCCTTCCTTTCTTTTTTCTTTCTTTTGACAGGGTCTTTCTATATTCCCCAGGCTGGCCTAAAACTCCCAAATCTCCTATCTCAGTCTACTGAGTTGTGTGGAGGAGAGAGAATTTCAAATGTGTTTTAACACACACACATGTTTGACGTAGTGGATATGCTTATTAGATGGTGATGTCACACATGCAAGCATCAAAGGTCACCCTAGGTACTATATGTCTGTGCAATGATCATAAATAATTAAAACAAACCTGCAAGATCAGAATATCCACCTGTTAATGACTTTCCTCAGTGCTCAAAACTCTTGAAGCATCCACGTCCCTGTTGCACTGGCTTCTGTCACACATGTAAGTGGATGGAGCAATACCTGAGTCTCCATCCACTGGGACCATACCAGTCCCAGAACAGGGTCCAAACTTGATTCTGTGCTTCTTCCCGGGTAGTGCGAGATGGCCCTTTCCAAATGATCTTCCTGAGTCTTCCTTACTGTCCCACAACTTCAGCTTCTGTGGGATAAAGGCCACAGGGAGATGAACAGAGCATGTGCTAGCCAGAAATGCAGGATGACCAGCAGGGCTCGTCCATACAGTTGCAGCACCTTGACTCATAGAACGTGGACCAGTGTGGAAAGTGATGAGACTTGACCAGGAGGAGGAGAGGAAGCAGAAAGACACATAGGAAAGGAAGTGGTGGGTTCTATGTCTTTCCTTTGCAGTTAACCAATTAACCGCTAGACTTCATCGCAGAGGTAAGAAAGACCTGGAACGGACACTGGGACCAGCCAAGACAGTAGGTGAAAGGAAAGATGCTCAGAAAGAGGTGCCACCAACTTCCAGGGACTGTCTTGCCAGATCTACGTGACTCGTACAGGTCAATCCAGACCACCAAAGACATGGTTGCATTTCTTCAGAACAAGGAAGAGCTCTTTTATACTAGATCAGTGATGAGCAAATTATATTTCAGCTCAGCAAGCAACTTTTGTTAACCATTATATGGGTCCACAGCTGCCTGTTTGCATATGTGATAAAGTGGGGTATGAGGACTTGTTACTATCTGGCCCCGGGTAAGAGAAGCCCAACACCAGATGGGCTGTCTTGGTAGGTAGCGAGTTTCCTGTCACCTGCGATTTTGCGATCAAAGACAGAAGATCGAATAAACTGTGAAGTATTGAGAAGGCACCAAGAGAACCTCCCTAGAGACTGTGAGAGTCCAGCCTCATTTCAGGTATTCAGGTGTTCTTGCTGTCTGGTTATTATGAGAGTTAAAACTAAAAGTAAGTAGCCCCTCTCCAGAGCACCCTCAGGAGGGCCTGTTGCTTCCCAAACCCTAACAGCAAGTGCACTGGCTCTCACTTCCTGCTTTCTGGGCCATTGTTATATCCATCTGGCTCATGTGATGGTCCCATGTGAAATTCTAAAACATGACATTTAAATAACTTAGGGTTCTGTTGACGTGAGACACAATTGCTCCTGGCAGCACCGATCTATTCCCGAGAGAATGCATAGCACCAAAGACACTCCGCTTGGAGCTTGCTTTCTTCTTGGCAAAACTGGCCTTTGGGCAAGGAACTGACCATGCCTTGACCACTGACAAAATGCACGGTGTCCAGACTGGACAAGCAGGATATGAGAAAAAAGACCACCAAGCTTTGCCAAGACAGAGTAAGACAGTTTTGAAAATTTTTTCTGCCTCTGAAAATGGTCTGTCAGATACTTCAGGCCTTAGCCAAAGTTCGTTGCTTCAACATTGCAAATGAAACTTTGGGTGATTCCCTAGGTAGCCAGTTGTCTCTGTCATCTACTGCACATTTTGGAAGCTGCTTGATTGCACTTCCTGCCTACTAAAGTAATATTATCTCCCTTCTCAGG